CCCTCCCCCGCCTCTCCAGAAACTACGCCCCCAGCCCCTGGGTTCGGCCCCGGCCCCCCGCAGGCACGCGCATGCCCACTCGACTTCCTCTGGCTCAACCCTATCTGGCCCAGACAGCCGCCAGGCTGCCTCCGAAATGACCCAGCATTTGGCCCAGGACCCCACCCTTCACTCAGTCCCGAGCGCTAAGAATCAGGAGGACAGCCTTCTGACATCCAGGAGCTGTGTCATCCGCTGTTTTGGGGGTGAGGGGACCTACACGATTGTGTGTGCGCCCCCTACTCACCCATGCCAACTTTCTTCTCCTTGGACAGGACTCAGTAACACGTCTTAAACTGAGCTTGAACTCCCAAATCCCAGACCAAGGACGTTTGATTTTTGCTGACTCCAAACTTTAAGTCTCTTCACTTACTCTCCGTTCATTCATTCGTTCATTCGTCTCTACAATCTTACACGCCACGCAAGGCGCCTGGCGTTTGGGGTATAGGAATGAGTACACTTGTCACTCCAGACCTCTCAGCTCGCAATAGACGTGTTACACTTTCCTTATTCGCCCTTCCTTTTTAATACTTCTCAGTCCTCAGATCCCGGCGTTCAAAGGCTATCTGCCCTTCCAGCACATGGTGTCTTCCTTCCTTCCTTCCCTCCAGATCAGCACGAAGTGGTTTCAGGAGTGGGGGGTCCCAGTTATCTCTCTCGGGGATGTGTTGCCTGGAATCACAGTGATATTCATCTGCAGGGTTTTTTTTTCTATTAACTTAATCACAGTAGTTAATCACAGAATTCATTAACTTAGTGATTTTATTTTTTCACATAGATGTCTTGAATCTGCCTGGAGTCCATCTTTGTATTTAGTGTTAGGCAGGGATCCAGTACTTTGGGCTGCATGGACTCGGCCAGTTTTCTCAAGGATGTCTACCAAATAATGGGCCCTTCACCCCATCGATTCGTGGCGCTTCCTTATAAGGTATGTTCCTGTGTATATATGGAGCTGTCTGGAAGTCTAGCCTGTGCCATTGTCCATTTGTCATTTCTTGCTGTTCCAGCACCTAATGTCAGTTGTATTACTTAGTAGTAGGTCTTAATATTTGGTAGGATGAGTCCTATCTTTTTTTTTTTCACGATGGACATAGCTATTTATGCATCTTTATTTTTCCATATAATTTTACAGTAAGTTTATCAAGCTCTCTAAAAATTAAACTGGGATGTGGGGCGATCTGGCTGCGATATGTCACCCATCACTAGGTTTGATTTGGTTGATCTGGCTGGCTAGGCGGGTGTTCCCTTTCTCCCTGACTGCCCCGTGAGTGTCCCTCCTGAAGCTGCTTGCTTGGTCAAAGAGGATGACTTTCCCCAAAAGAGGAGGACGGAGGCCCGTTCTTCCCTCAAGGGCATAGAGTAGCTGTGCTCCCCTGCTAGAGGCTCCAAACAAACTCTCAAGGTCTATTTGAAGGAGAATGTAGGGTGGTCAAGCTTCCAAGACTCCAGACACATCCAAATGAGGTGCATGTGTCAGTCTGCCTTTCTTTGAAAAAATAAAAAATAAAATAAAATAAAATAAAATATTAAACTGAAAGTGTGTTTCAGATTACAGTTAGAGACTTATAATTTGGGGGAAATTGACATCTTATAATATTATTGTCTCATTCAAGATCATAGATCATTTGTATTTATTCAGATCAAAGTTAAATTAATTCTTCTTTAATACATCACAGATTCTGTTGCTACTATGAATTGTATCTTATTTTGATTAGATGTTCTAGCTGATTATTTCTAGTGTACATAAACACTTTTGATTTTTGTCAGTTGATCCTATATCCGGAAACCTTGCTAAGCTCACTCATGAGATTGAAAAGCTTTTGGATTCTACTTATTTTTTCTAAGTAGATGATGCCAGCATCTCAAATCGTGACAGGTGTCCCTCTTCCTCACTTCGGCCCTCCTTATGGCTTTGGCCAAGACCTCTAATACTACATGAGGCATTGGCGGTAGCTGTGGAAATCCCTGATTTGAATGTATACTTTCTTTACCTAGTTATATTTACTGTAGTCATTGTTATACAGTCTTGACCAAATTATTTCTTCCTATTTCTAGTTTATTAAGGTTTTTTTAAATAATAACAAATGTGTTGAACTATTCCGATGCTTTCTGCATCAGTTTACTTTCTTCTTGTAGTTTATTGATTTAGTTCATTTAGATTTCCTGAAGTTAAACAGTCCTTTTGGTCCTGTGATAAAACCCACATGATCATAGCATTCGTTTTTTTTGTTTTGTTTTTTTTGTTTTTTTTTTTTACCACACTGTTGACTTCAGTTAGCTAATATTTATTTTGGTTTTTACTCTATGCTCATCAGAGATATAAACCTATAATTTAATTTTCTTGTTTTACCTTTTACTGGTTTCAAGATAAGATGACATTAGCTTCTTGAAATGCTGCTTTTTTATTTTTTGCAAACATCTTGTATAAAATATGAATCAAATGTTTCTTTTTTTTAAAGTTCTTTCTTTTTTTGTAAATGTTTATTAATTTGTTTTTGATAAAGAGAGAGAGAGAGGGAAAGGCAGAGAGAGGGAGAGAGGATCTGAAGCAGGCTCCACGCTCAGTGCAGAGCCCAACACAGGGCTCAATCCCACAACCCTGGGA